TGCATCGCTACTAGGAACAAGTGCCTTACTAGTAGTAACAAGAAGCTAGATGTCTCAGAAAGTCCTTAAGTGTCGTGGCTGTCGTGGCCTCTCTCACCAAAAGCGTCGTCCTAGGACTCATGGCCTTCCTGACATCATTTGACACCAAACAGACTGCCCATGTTTGCAGCTACTAGTTAAGTCTCCTTAAAAATCTAGGAACCAAATCATTAGTGCGAGCTATCCCCCGTCCTAAGTAGTAGCTTACTTGTAACTACTAGCTACCTCACGACCTCCTCCTATCGCAGCCTACCCCCCAAAAAAAGATAAATGCAAAGAATGGAAAGAAATGGATGGAGCCACAATTTTCAGACAGATCCAAGTGCTTAAGCCATGCCAAGCATCTGTGGCTGCAACTTCTGAGTGGCAATTGGCTGTTTCGCCTGACCGGAACTGGACTATTGTGGACTTATCTACATCTGGGACCCAATTGCGTCTTTCTTTTTGTGCTTAGTGCTGCACCAAAACTTTGGCAGGCACAGGGCTGCGATGCTGGCAACAGACATGTTTTTCGCCGTTTCCGATTGGGGCTTCATAGCTCTCGAAGCACGGAAAAAGAAAAAACATATACGCGTTCAAAGAACTGCCGGCAGCACGTTCGCAGACAGGAGTATTGGCCTCACACACTCCATCTTATTCAAGCCCTGCAAACCACATGCAAGTTCACACCTTGACTGTGAAGGTAACTACAAACATTCAACTGAGCTACAGAGTTTGATGTTCACAGTTAAAGCAACGGAATCGTGAAGTTCCTCGAAGTTGTCCGGAACAAAGCAAACACAAATCCACTGGATAGTACAGTAGATCTAGGTATTTAATGTCATGATATGTCAAGACTATATGTCCACCATACTGCCTCAACTTCTCATCTTGCTCGCCTGTTCTGTGCCTGCGCCACCTGCCGGGAGCGCGCATCCAATGACCTGGGAGCTTGTGATGTTTCGGATCCTAATAGTAATGGCCTCCAACCTAATAGCGGGGAAAGGTTGCAAAGTCGTTCAATGCAGCCCCAGCTTGCAAAGTGGTCCATGATATAGAGCCAATGATGGATGTCTGCTGAACGATATTATATATACATACATGTATATTGGTACAGGTTCCAACCTGTCTATCCATAACATTAATCAGTCTGAAAGTCTTAAATGTAAAGAATACTAAAAAGCTGGGTACAAATGCAGATCCAGCCTTGCAGACTGACAAGAAGTTGGCACAAATATCTGTTGTTGGCATGTGCTTTTGAGATTATCTTGCATGTAAACAGTCAACTTTTGCAGGCCAATGCCAATGCATCTCCACTCAATGCCCAGCTGAGGTTGTCCATATCTGGCCCAACTTTGGTGCCTGTCAATGTCGCACACTTGTGCCGAGTGTCTTAGTGTCTCCGATTCACATCTAAATTGATACAGTCTGAAAAGAATCATAGCAGGCAGCACTGCATCTCCACAAAGAAACGCCTCATTGGAAACGACATGGTTCCAAAAGGCCGCAAAGGGAAATGGTGTCAGATGAAAACACCATACTCTGGGCAAGAACTTCTAAAAGAAAAACAAAAAAGATTATATAGTGCGAGTGGATCTTAATCAGCGAAGTTTGAAGCTATCACTGACGGTCCATAAGCGGCGTAGCGTCGGAGCGGAAACCGCACCTTTTCTAGTCGCTTGATCCTTGAGCCAGAGTACATATGGTACATATATATGTACAAGTTGCACTGTACGTGTCGCTGCACTTCCATTCGCACCCCCCACACACGAAAATTTAGGGATGTAAGTGCTACAAAAGAAATTGTATGATTTGCCGCGAGACTCATATGAGGCTCATACTACGAAACATGCTGGACTAAAGCGGACTTTTACATATAAAGTGTGCAACTATGGCTCAGAACCTATGAAAATCGAATTGAACAAGTGAGACAGTCACGAGGCCTCGCTCAGTATCCACTCAAAAGAGCATCGCTTTGATGTAGATCCGAACTGGTGACTTCCACGTAGATGTCACATCGGCGACTGACTTCACACTTCTCAAAAGATGTAGGTTTTGGTTTGGATACACTTACAGAACGGCAAGTCGGAGAGACAGTCGGTGATTGTCTACCTTCCATTATGCTCATGGTATCAAATCGTCAATCCGATGATTTGCAATGATACACTTACAGCGTTTCAGATCAGATAGACATCCGGTGAATGACTTCCTCCCTGGTTTGCATGGTATCCTCATAGTCGTTCAAAGAAATCACCACTGGCGATAACCTCTCCATCCACGATGATCCCAGCTGCCCTGAGCATCCCGCCGATCATCTTCTCCCTTCTTGGACTTTCCCTTGGACTTGCTCTTTCCCTTCCCCTTTTCAGAAGGTTGAGGTACTTCGCGACGTTCTTGCGTTAGCGCCGGCCTCCAAGATGTTCCAGATTGGCCTCCTCCTTTGGAATGTCCTCGGGATGATGAAGAAGTTGTACCTTCTGCTGCATGTGCGTTGGCGGCAAGATCTTCCTGCAAAGCTTGCTCAAACACATCGGTAGCACTGGATGGTGATTTATCATGTGGTCTGGCTTTTGGAGCAGCCTTCGCCTTGTTCTCCTCTGCTGATGAGGGCCCGAAACTCTTAGGTGCTGTTGAAGGTTTTGGCTCCTCACTTGGTGCTGACGACGGCTTGGCCTCGGTTCTGGGTGTAGATGCTGGCTTTGCCTCAGCTCTTGACGAAGATGCTGCTTTCGCTTCAGACTTAGTCGTTGATGTTGACTTAGCTGTTGCCTTGGCTGCCTGCTTCTTCTTGCCCTGAATCTCCTTGGCCCTATCTCCAAAGCCTAGACGATTGGTAAGAGCTTGAACATGCTTATGTTCTACCACGCTCATCCATCTCTCTGTATGTCCAACGTTGGGGTTTCTGGCCATTGACTCTATGACTTCCTGAGCTTGTGGGGGCAACCTGATCTCATGTTGATCAATGATCAACAGAATAGACTTCTCCCACTTGCTCTTCATTCTCGAGTACATGATGTCCAGAGGATCGATCACCTTGTGGTAGGGTGATGTAACGTCGGTTCTAAAGTAAGAATATGTCCGACACCCATAAATCGCATGGATGCACTTCTGTACCAATTCAGTCATTGCGCTGGCTTTCTTCGCTTTCAACTCCTCAAGCTGGGCATCAGTCAAGTCGGTGGAGTGTTCGAAGTTGCCATATTCCTTCTTGAAGGATTGCGGAGTATGACCAAATGATAGGATCACGAGTGCCACCTTGCAAATGAATTGTTCTCCTCTGAATCGGTGCCAGGCCTCCTCAGTCGTAATATTGTTGTCGTTGGCAAAGATTAACATCATGTCATCTGTTGGATCCAATGGTCTCCCATCGTCATCGATTTCAGTGGAATCCCCTGTACCGAATTTGCTTATCACATCCAGTCGCTTCCTTTTCCAATTTGCTTTGAAGTCGGTAAGGCTGGTGCAATAGTAGCTCTTGTACATCAGGGAGATCATGTTCAGCACACATTTGACCACATACCTATCCATCAAACCCGATGCATTCATGGAGACGTCCTGACAGTAGGCTCTCTCTTGATGCGCATAGATTCGAGGTTCCGGTACTCGACAATAGATGGGGAGATCTTCGTTGTCTCTTCCTTCTTCGGGATTGAACTCGGTCGCTCCA